TACCTTTCTATCAGGATCCAGGGACTGTGCCTATAGATAGGTCTTGGGACTCTATTGGCGTTGGTACAGAGGTTTTCATGAACCCTGATCAAGTTGTAGAATGGACTATCAGTGACTTTGATATCCTGATGCATCCAAGGCCACATGATTAGTAGTTTTTCCTTTTCTTCTATTATTTTTTGTACATGGTCTAAGGACCAAGTTATAAGTTTGACAAATGTATGAAGCTTTGAAATTTGATTTTTCTGGTTCKATTCAATTCAATCATTTTATTTATTTGGCTGTTTATGAGGAATTTGAAAAGCAATCAGAAAGTTTTGTCCATTGTTTTAATTATATGATTGCTAGCTACCCATATAAAATCTTCAAATGGTTTTCCAATGCCAGTCTGGTTTGCTTCTTATGGATTGGTCTGGCTTCTTGTGGTCTAGAGAAAAAACAAAGAACCAAAGAAAGAAATAATTAGGAAAAGAGATTTACTTAGGTTGGTTCAGTGGTTTTCTCTAGGCTAATGGTTATGATCAATCAGTAATGACAATAAAAGGCTTTAATTTCTATAATTCATTTATGTGAGACCTTAAATGCCAACTTATACATCAAACTATTTAAACTTGCTTGTTTCTTTCAATTAAACGGCTGATAGTCTTATATGGGGGTGTCGATTGACCTGTTTTGGATTGGACCCCATCCAAGCCAAGTATTTATTTGATTGGATTGGACCTGGTCCATCCATAATGAAATTATATTGGATGGGTTGGATTAAACCAATATCTGATGATCCATTGATAGAAGATAAGAATATAGGTGCCAATGGATCAGGTTTGGATTAAAATTAATCTAAATTAAAACAATTTTGAACAGATTGGACGGTCCAGACATTGAATAGGACCGGTCCAAAATATTCATTGGATTGGATCGGACCTGGTTCATTTGTAATGGACTCACACAGGATTGGATTGGATTAGACCAAATCCAGTCTAATTGGCACCCCTAGTCTTTTGTTTTCAAAGGAAAAAATGGTAGGTTTTGTTTTAAAAAACAGTGCATATTTTTGGAACCAACAAAATATTGGTTTCTAAAACAAAAACAAATTTTTTAGTATGGAAGTTATATGATTTATGGAACATGATATTAAACAATCAGATGAAATCATGTTTTTTGAAACTAAATTCAAGGACATGTTTTTTGTTTCAATTTTGAAAACAGAAAACACAAAACCAAAATACGTTTTTTGTGTTTTTGTTTTTAGAAACAATCTATTTTTAAACAAGATGGTTTTGATTTGTTTTTGAAACTGACAACAAAAAAAAAACAATTCATATTGTAGAGCGCCCGCTAAAAGAGCATGATTAAGTCAGAAAACAACTTACACTTTAGATTTCATGGTTCCATTTAGACCAAAGGTACGACACCTAAGACATCACATATGCGTCTGCCCAATAAGATTTGGACACGCAAGCAACCCAACCAAAATTCATATTTATGGTGTTTTGAGTATTGAACTGAGAACCGTGCCTATATTATATTGGGCGGTCTCAAATTGTAATATGACGATGGGGTGTTCTTCAATGGAAGCTGTATAAATGGCACATAAAACAAGCCCAGTGGCATTTTTTCACCTTTGAACCACATCCACATCAGTTTGTAGTAGCATAGAAATTATAATTGCACCAAAACAGTTCTGAGGTTAACACTAGCAAACTCAATGGGGACTAAAGAGGAAAACGGAAGCTTTCATTTATTTCAAACATTCAACCTACAAGAGGGGCCATTGCTCGGTGAAATGGTAAAATCTCAGGCCGACGAGTGTGAGAACTTGGGTTCAAATCTGAGAGTGGCCCACTTTGTGCAAAAGGCTAGGACCATATACAGTCCACCCTTCCTATCATAGAAGTATCTCCTCTTGCACACTGACATTGAGTGTCTTATTTGGAAGAACAATGCTGTTAATGACCACGACTTCATCTTCAACAGTCACAGCTTCTCCTGGATTAGAAAATATCATTATTCACATAATGTTAGGAATCATGTACAGTGGAGCCTCCACTCCTGAAGAGAAAATTAAACATAAAAAATGAATGGATTCATAGAAAAAAAATTGAGGAGATGAATACCTAGGATGGTAATTCCAAGTTTGGCATTATAATCTCCTTCACCCTAAAATCAGTTGATAGATCCGGGTCAATTACTATGGACTGGAAATAAAAGGAAAAAAAAAAAGAAGAAAAGGTCATCTAGGCACACACACACACACACACATAGAGAGAGAGAGAGAGAGAGAGAGAGAGAGTCTTGGCTTCTTGCCTGCACACGTGACCATTTACCAATAGATGACTTCCACCCCACAATTGAATGTATAACAACTGCATTTTCCTATTGAAGGATGACAAATCATGCCTAAATAAGTCTTACATGGAAGAATTCACTAATGAATTCTATATCTTTAATCCAACTTTGTACCTCGATTTTGACATCATCCAGGATGATGCAACTTATGAGTCTTACCCCAGCTGCTATGTGAGCATTTGCAGAAATTGAGACATTGGGACCAATCTGTTTTAAATGGAGAAGAGCTAAGTTAGCTATAAATTCTGAAAAAGAACCCAAAATGTAGAAAAGACATCCAAAAGGGATTTTACTTAACAGGATGCAATTCTAAAGCTTACAGAATAAAAAAAAAAAAAATGGTAATACAAAACATCAGTTCTGATCATGAAGGCCAACACAAAGAGTCTGGCAGAGGTAGAAGAGAATTCATAGCTACAACAGTAAACAAAACTATGTTGAGGGGGTGCTCTCCAATACAACTTTGCTCCCCCACCCATCCCCTCTAGCCAAGCTTATTTGTCAAATAGTTGGTTAACCTCTTGATCCATCTAAACTAGATATTCACTTTTGGATGTTCTTGGATCCCTAAGATGGTCAGAGAACCCAAGGTCTGTCACAACAATCTCTAGGCCACTCAATAACAATAAGCCACCCTCTACCACCACCTGATCTGAGTTGATAATGTCTTCAAACTGAGACCCTTATCGAGAGGCTCTGTCTCAGTATGAACAAGTAACCTGACACAATAGGATCTCAGTAAGCCAAAAGAATCTATGTTGTCACTTCCTTGAAGGCCCCCCTAATTCTGACAGCCCCAAGTTTACTCAAAATCATCAAACAGAAGACAGATCCATGCAAGTTCCCATGAGCAACACTTGAATGCAATTTGCCATGTAGTCAAAATGAGGAAAAAAGAAAAAAAAAAACGAAAATACCTTTGCAGTTGGATGAACCTTTGCTGATGGATGCACATAACGTCACCAATGATAGTAGCACTCTTGGTGCCATTTCCACTTGCCAGAAGATGAGGAGAAGTAAACCGAAATTGGGCAAGATATAAGGCAGAACATTTCAAAGACATTCTGTAAGTTAAAATATAAGTTTAAACAGGTCATTTCATTGGTCCAAATATTCAAGGCAAGAAGAGAGGAAAATAGAGAACTAAGGAATTTTGCTCTACCCTGGAGTTTTGATTTGTTCCCAGAAGTCCATGGTTTCATATACATATAGCTGATTCTTCCCAGCAAGAGGTGACAGGATGTCTTGATCCAATCTTACAAAATCTGTAGGAAGGACCCTGCAATTAAACTAATTTCAGCATGATGTTGATCGGAAATTATTCTTCAATTAACATTAAAAATTTAATGGGTCCAAAAGAGGAATAGTCCCAACAATAACTAAAAGATATAGATTTGTTTGGATCTTACATGTTAGGAAAATAAGTCCTTGCATTAAAAAATAAATCATAAATGATCTTTCATACTCGATGCCAAAAAAATCAACTAGGTATTTTCTAATCAACTATGTTTCACTGTCACCCTTGGGATAAGAAAAATGTTCACATAATTGGATATCCTGTATATAACTCAAAGTGGGTAAAAAAAGATACAATAGTTAACAATCAGCTCTTAAGTCCCCAATACATGCTGAATAATACATGAACCTTGAATAAAATTTTACTTTGATTAAATGACCCATACAAAATATAAAAGACAATCTTGGACCAAATGGATGCCTTTGCAAACTGTAGGCAAAAAGACATCCAACCTCTTAGCTGCACTCATGACTTTAAGGAATAATGTTGTGATTCTCTCAATGACAAGGTCAAGATATTGCTGGTATTTCCACCAGAAGTATCAAGTGCAATGACTGTAACACGAGTAACCCTGACATTCCAGTGTTTTCCCATGTTGGCCTTCAATTTTTGGGGACTAGTAGCCCCAGACAAAACTAGTTGAGAAATCTGATTGGCGCCAAATGCAGCCAAGATCAATCAGAGAAAATAACCAAAAAACACATAGCCCCTCATGGGACATTTCTCTCTCACTGGCCACTTGGTGACAATTTGGCACTTATCTTGAAAGCACAAAGGAGGCATTAGGCATCAAACATGGCTAACTTGATGAACAAGAAAATGTTAGTGTAATCTGTCCATCATGAATAATCTGGGGCACTCAGAAAATATTTCCACTTTTTCCTGTAAAATCACATTCTGGTCGATACTTCATTCATGTAACTTGAACAGTTTTGTCAATGGAAAAAAAAGAAAGAAAAGCTGCATAAGGTCTCTATCTCATGTTCCATCACTAATGTCAACAAAGCATAATTTAAACTGTTAGGGTGTCACAAATGACTGTCATTCCACTCTACCCCGGGCTATTAAGAGG